TATTTAAAACATTTCATTGCTTTCAACTCAAATCTTCGATACTACCCAGACGTTCTAGTGTCCTGGGCCCATAACCTATTAATTTATTATTAAAGCAAAAACAAAACGACATATATTTAATAGTTTAAGTTACATAGTGAGCGTTGTTCTAAACCATGCGGTGTCGAGCAGAACAGAAGATAAAAGTGAGTAAGTGTAAAATTAGCATACAATAAGTAGTGCATACGAGATCATGTAACTAGTACTATGATCAGATATCTTATACTTGGTTTAATACACATTTAATGTATCGTCATTCCTAACATAACTAATGTAATATTGTTTCAGCATGACATAAAGTTGGCATTAATACAGGGTATAAATTATCTATTGTTTAGCATTGCGCCTAAAACATACTTTTTACTACAGCTACCTACATTGATTAACATTGGGTTCACCAATATCATCTGAATCAAGGAGTAGATCTTTTTGACAATCTAAGTCATCTAGCCATGAGACATGTGGCAACTGATAAATTTCATCAAATGATTGACTGCTTATCTCCTCATCATTACTGTTATTGGTTAAGTCATTAGCATATGGTATGAGGTACAGGTATATCCGAGAGTATCCAAATCCTGACATTTCTTTATATTTCTGGAATGTTAATGGTTCTGGAGGATCTGTACCAGGAACACGTTCAACAAAACTGCCATCCCTAAAGGCCAGTTTATATATGACACCACAATCAAGTCGCTTGTTAAAGACAGAATGCTTCTTAACAGCGGCACAGAGAATCGCTTCTGCAGTAGCAGATGACCCTACTTTTAACGGTATTGTCCCGTCTCATCTTGCCGGTCTCAACCATAACCCCAATTTGGATAGCAATATCTTTATTTTCAATTCTTCTCTTTTTATTCGCACTTCTGTTTGAGAATGAATTTTGCCTTTCCTTTTCTTTTCTGGCGTTGTTGCTAGTCTGACTGACTAACCGACCGACTGACTGACTGACCGACTGACTCGTGTGAATTTTCGCCCCTCACCACAATACTGCAAAATTCGTATGGCAACTTTGCACTAAAAAGTGGAAATGCTAAACATGTCCTTGAAAAAACTCTTTAAAGACTGTGCCTACTCTATTGTAAAATGCATGTGTTTAGTTACACTGAGATACAGGGACTTTCACCAATTGTTAAATCATTTTAAATTTCTTGTATCAACTGGCCAATGTTACGAGTGCCCAGAAAAACTATTTTGAAACAACTAACATAAGTGGTTAAAGGCACGATCACAGATTTGTAGATATTAAAGCTGTAATTGAAAAGAACATAAAAAATCAGTGACAAACCCAATACAACAAGCACCCTGTGACGACTAAAATTGCCTAAGGCTGAGAGGAACAAAGTTTCCCAAAACAGACAGAGCAGAAATAACCAAGCAACCACAGGCGGAAGATCATACAACAAACAAGAAAAAAAGATATTCAGTTCTACTCAAAAAAAAAGAAATTGCTCTAAGGACCAGGAGCGGATCTAGGGTATGTCAAATCTAGGGTATGATTACAAAATTCTGTTTTATGTATGAAAACTTATACAAATACCACCTAAGTAAACAGATCAGTAGATAAAAACATATCTAGAATTATATTAACTGGCTGACTGATAAGCGGGGTGGCTCAACTGGTTAGACCGATAACGGAGTTCAAGAAAGCTTATTTAAGCCATTTGATTGGTCAATAGCCAGATCTGGAATAATCTCGACCGATAAGCGGGGTGGCCGGACCGATAAGAGTGTTCAATTGCTATCGTGTAATTGGTTTGTTTAAATTTTTGTCTTACTGTGATTGGTTTGACCGATTTCGACTGATAGCCAACTGAACTAACATTTTCAAGCTCACTGTCTGAATTGAATGTATGATCGTTTCGTAGTAATTTTCTAAAGCATGATAGAAAGTAAACTACAATCAGATGGAATTTATGGAAATCTTTTACAAATTCATATATTGACATGAATGCTGCTGTCCAAACTGTGAATTTTTTCCAGAGGGTGAAAAATTTATGGATGAATTGTAAATGCTTGGCAAAGACGATCTCGCAAGCGACATTTCAGTCATTGATGTTCAGAAGCAAGCTAACATTGTTTTGAGTTTTATCAGCAGAAATTTACATCCAAAATCGTAAGTAAAGGACAACTGAAGTGTATGTATGAATGTTAAATATCAAAGTCGATTTATGCGAGTATGTGATGCGATTTATGTCAATATGGCGTATGGTAAGCAGATTGATGCTTCCAAACTTGTTGTTGCCGAAGGACTTTTAGCTATGATTTCTTTAGTGCTTGGGGAATCGTGGCCGTTATTTGGCAGCGAAATCCCACATTCCTACAAATAGATTTCAATGGACAAAAAATCTGTAGCCATAAGGTGCCATACTATTATTTACTTTATCATAAACAAGTGTTTGGGGCTTTTTAGTTGATGATCATTGTTCATTCAACCATTGGACAGTTATACTACACATTGTTTAAGATTTGAGAAAACTAACATTGATTACATGAGAAGCTGTTTACTATAACCTGTAATTTTGAGTCTTTTCTGATCCATGAAGCTTTTTATTTTGACAATTTGACTGGAATGGTATTAAACCTGAGCATTTCACATACATGAAATGTTGTGGCATGTCACATATTGTCCCCTTTTCTAACTGAACACCTCATTTGAGTTGTCAAGGTGCGTTGATCTACAGCTATTGATGTATGAAAAGCATTTTCTATAAAGTAAAAATGTGTTCCTACGTATGCAGATAAACCTTGAAATTTGGCAAAACAGCAAAGTATTTTTCATGATCACTAGGTAATTTTTCAGATCATTATAATTTCTAAACTAAATTATTTCAGATTTACATTTAAACAAGCTTTGATCATATGAAAAGATATTTATCATAACCAGTAAGCATGACACATGAACCAATTTTAACATTCGTGTAATTATATGATTAAAAGCATGTTGGTAACATTCTGTTTGTACTCGCAAATACAATGGTGATTGCTATATAGCACACCTTGCTTATACTTACAGAAGATAATAGTCTAGTGAAATGCCTAATAAACATTAATGGCATAAAGCTGTCCTAAATTGCAAATTTTCACTCTGATAATTTTTGCTTATTATTTGGCAGAAAAAAATTTTGAGTTTTTTCTCAAAAGATGAATTTGCTGGCACTGTATGTTGAGATGGGTAAAGGGTTACAATAAACTTGCAGGGTTTGAAGTTTGAGCTTTTCTACATCTATGAACTGTCCTTGTAGTACCAAATTTCTAACTTAACTCATTGCATAGAGGTTTGAATGGGGGTCTCTAGGGGGGCCTATGCCTGACAACTTGGTAGAAATTTTTAAAGACTATATCTGTTTTTGAATATCATTATTGCAAAATAAATTTTACGTTCCTAGACATGCTAATGAGCCTAAATATTTGGCAAAACATTCAAGTATTGTTCACTTATGTTTTTTTTTTTGAAAAAAACGTAAGCAAAATGTGTTGTTTTTACGCAAAAACGATGCCCACAAAATGCATTTTGTATTGCTCTAAAACGCTGAAAATGGCATTTCCAAGGCTCTGAAATTCAAAATTTCCCAGGGGAGAATGCCGCGGACCCCCAGGTGCGAAGCGCCTCCTGTGTTTTATGACTGATGTGTGAAAAATCCCTGCGAAGGACTGATTTCAAAGTCAAATTTACTAGTAGATCACTAACAAATCTCCAAAGTTTCGAAAGTTTTCAAAAAAGAAGCAGTTCGATTGCTTTACAGCCAAGGCTCAAAGATGCTTCTAATTTTCATAACATGAATATCAAGCAAGTTAATATGTATGTTCAAGAAAGAAGAGAGACTGCAGTTTCTTCTGGAGGTTTTCAATTTATGGAAAATATGATTACGTTTTTGTGGCAAGTTTAACTTGTTTTACTGTACAAGCCCTAGTAAGTTCCAGAGGCGCAGAACTGTCAAGTTCACTGAACAATTTTGAATGCAAATTACATTACTGTGTATAAAAACTTTAGCAAATACATAATTAATTTATGTGTGTTACAATTTATGTGGACACCCTGAAGATTATATTACGATGCCACCTCAAGTATTGTTTAGACCTCTGTGTCCGTGCCCAGCTAATTTAACGGAAATCAATGGCAAAATTCGATCTCGATCGGTATTCATCGATCTTCATATGCCGTATTCTGTGGCACAAAACGTTGCTTAGAAAACGATTTTCGTTGCCTCCCATCGGGCACTACTTTTTAACAAGATAGATAAGTAGGATATATCATTGAAAGTGTAAATTCACTAGTTTCCACCTTCAAAAACCCGCAGTGATTGAGTATTTCACCATCAAAAGGCTCGTCATCATAGGCATATTTATGTTGACTACATACAGGTTATATTCAGCATCACCATCATCACTTATAGATAAAATAGACAAAATTTTCAATGAAATATTGCCTTTAATAGTATTCAGCCATTTATTTTAGGAATATCTGTTTCATTAATGTTTCAAAAAATATAGTTGAGCAGAAACACTTTTCACGTAACTAATGAAGAACAGAGCAAAATGTGGCGTCAGCCGTATCCATCTATAGCTCGTAAACTAGACGCGTTTTACTTATGTCATTAGAAGTTATCTCGTTGTCGACAGAACTGTTGGTCAATTTTAAATCACTATTGGTCATCATTTATTTGGCCAATTTCAGTAAAAATAGCATCAAAAAATTTTAACGTAAGAAACACTATAAAGGGTTGTAGTCAAACAGTAGCTTTGATGTTAGCAATTTACTTGCCTTTGAACGTTGCCTGTTCAGCAATTTTCGCAATTGATCATCGAAATTTACGAAAACGAAATTATTCAACTTTGCGAACTCATAACTGAAATTAAATATACGCTTACAAAATCAGACGAGAAATTTTTGCCAAACAGATATTGATGATAGTCGTCCTCTAACAGACAGCCACAAAGATTTGAGGCGTTTAGTCGAGTTTCCTGGTAGAATTATTTAATTTCTCAATATATGTCAAACATAATCCACTTGCTAATAGTAAAACTCGTGTACAATCATTCTAGCAATTTTAGATTTTCTGATATAATCTGTTATGTAATTAAGCAAATTTATGTGATTGTATTGACCAACCAAAAAGTTCAAATCTAAAGTAAAATGGTCAAGATTAAAACGTGCCACACAATGGAATGCCTCATTACAACAAGGAATGCTTATCGATCATAGCAGCTGTTTTGGCGGATAGTACTGACCTCTGTAAATATAATTCCGTGCATCAAATAGGGTTCAGGGTAAATCATCAAGCCTGACTGGAAACGAGCCTGAACTCACTTTAAACAATTTCTTAACGCTGAGTGTAATATACAAGTCATTATGCGCCTTCTAGATGTACAACAAGTACCTAGGTCAGGGTACTTCGGAAACCAGTATATGAGCTTGGTAGGCCGATGTACAATTGATGGATTACTCTTGAATTCAAGAAATTGCAATAAATTTTACACGACCAACGAAACAAAACTGTTGTACTGTTCAATGTTTCGTTTTAAAATATCGACACACGGGCCCAGCAGTCGTTCAAATCTCTGACGATCAAGTTTCACGCATTTTAAAGATCCTTGGGCTTGAACAGTAGCCGCACGACGTCTATTCAAGAGTAAAGCAATCTCACCTGAAAATGAATATGTGGAAGACTTACGAGATAATTTCATGATAACAACGTCATGATAAGACCAAACGGGAAACAAGATGATACTACGCAAAATTAACTATCAAAATGAGAACATGATGAATGAATGAAAGAGAAAAATAGGTGGATTAATCAATCAAAACAAACGCTAACCAAAATAGTCTGATGGTCCAAGTCTACCAACTTCAACAAAAGGTTCGTTTGCACTACGTCTTTGTAACACGACAGCATTTCCCTAGTCAACAGAAAGAACGTCTCGAATTAACCATGAAAAAAGTAAGTGTCTATCTAGCTAAACATTGTTTCCCGGCAGACAGTTAAATGGACAAATTCAGCTAATGTTTCTTTGCACTCGCAGCAATCGAATCTACAAAACATACATAGCTTAGCTACATGCTTGGTTACCTCTGTTCTTCTATGATTACAATAAAAAAATTGGAATGGCACATGAGCTATACCATGAAGTTAATGGAATAGCACAGATGCAAAGCCAGCTTGCGAGAAAAGTTTATTTTGATTTTGTCGTGTATGGGAGGCCTATTGTATTATTTATTTTATCATACATATTACTTCAAAATTTCGTTAGCCGATGGAGCGTAATAATTATATCAAATAATAAACTTGACACCAGCTGGCTGTATGGAACAGCGATTTTTGTCGAAGAGAAAATGTCAGCGCACTTGGCAAGCCAAATGACGTCACAACTGTACCAACACTTATATAGTCCGCTGGAGCCATAATACTCGTAAGTTTAGACTGTTCAACTCATATGGCAAATTATATACAAACATTCCGTCTCGATTTCACTATTATATAGTTGCAAGTTGCGATTTTATTTCTGTTTATTTATATTTCTTGCACAAATGTTGAACGTACTTGTGGTTTTGCATTAGTGGACACTGCTCTTGTTTCTTTATTTCCTGTTTCAGGCATTTCATTATCTTCATATAGTGTTTTAATCTTTAGCATGTGCAGGTTTAAGCACTCCAAAAATGTTCGTCATAAATTAGACAATATACTTACTTGCTTATGATGATGATGAAAATGGCATGGCAACTTAATGATAATTGCTAATAGATCATTATGTTGAAAGTAAACTAACATAAAAGCAAATAATTTTGCATGTACTCGATAAGAATGACTGGTTGGGTGCCAAAAAATTGAATTCCTTGAAGTGATATTGTAATATGCTAGGTGGTAAGTTCCAGAATGCAGGTAATTCTGTTCGGTACCTCGATTCTAAGCTACCCAAAAATGTGCACCGGGTATCTCATACTTCAATCTAACCATCAAGTGGTAAGTATAGTTATGATAGGCATCAATTCTACTGTGTCACCTGTCTACTTCACTACAGAGTCACATAAAAAAGCCTCGGCATGCGCATTTATTCAGTACTACGGCCGCGCTGTTGAGAGCAAACATCAAAATAGGTACGCTAAGCGCACATGAATTTGCTCATGGTGGTTGTTGGTGGAATTATAGTTGTGAAGGACCAAGTGAAAAACAAGTGGCAGACATGGCAAAATACTAATGCTTTAAGGACTGACTGTTGCACATTAGAATGCACATTAGAATGACACTATGCTTTCACCATAGTTTGTCATGAAAAGTACATTGTCATACAATATCATGGAATTCAAATGTTAAACTTTGCAGCAATTGAAAATCACCTGGTTTTTTATTTTCCATAGCTTTAGTTGTGGTTAGCTTAGAGTCTTTGAGTTGAAAGGTCGGAAGTTTTACTCGCTCTAATTTGATTCCTTTATTCCACTTTGCACAGTCTTTACTATGCTAAGCCTCTGGAATTTGTGATGAGGGCTGAGAACTTTAACTGGATTTCTTATGTTTCCCATGCTCCTTTGCACGAAATATTCTTTTTTGGCTCCTCTTTACTCTCAAAAGTCTGTGATGAAGGTTGGAGACCATTATCATTCTATGTAATTTCTCATGCATTTTCTCCTTTTTTTCTTAGCCTTTACTCTTTGATATTAATAGATTACGTCGTGGTTGGTTAGTGCGTACAATTTTTATGCACCAGATGAGAAGTATTGAAAACATACGAGTGAGTGTTGCAAACGATTTTTTTTTCAATCCTTCTCAACAAATGCATTAAAAAACTTACAAACAAATTGTGTAGATTCTGTCGCATTGTTAGACCTTTGTGCATAGAGGTATATCCAGCCTAGGGCGCTCCTGCATAGATCAGACTGATTTTGCAAGCTGAATGCGCTAACATATGCTATAACATTGAAAACACAAGCAGTCTGCGTTTTGGACACGACTTACTAAAGAAAATGCGGGATGCTAAAGAAACAAGCAAACTTAATTCAGTTTTTGCTATCCCTTATACAGCTGGTAGGAAATCATATTCCTCCAAGTTCTCAGATAGAAATAGCTTTAATCAGGGGGCAGCTTCAAGGCAGACCAAACAGGATTTTCACTGAGAGGACACACCAAAACTCAAAAAAAGTCTCTAAAAATTCAACCGAAACACAGGAAATAATCAGACAACTGACAGAAATTAAGCAAAAGGTAAAAACTTGGATGCTTACAGTGGTTAAGTAAACATCACCAAAGATTTGTGAAAAATTTTAGGAGGAAATTCTGTCTGATTGCTTTTCTGCATGACAAAAAATCACCTCAGGTTTAAATACACTGTCTCATATTAGGTGTATGTCAATTGAATGCACTGACATACCTTACCAACGTTCGTACAGACGTGCTATAATTAGAAAAAAAGGGATAACCCATTATTGAAAGCGCAATATAAAACCAAAAAAGAAGTGATAAAAAAATTTGCACTCACTGAAAATGAGTCACTGTCCCCGATATTTTTGCGACCAAAAAACGACGAAAGTTGTATGCTCATTTTAAATCTTAAAGAGATCAACAAAAACGTTACAGACTATCATTTCAAAATGGTATCTCATAACACAATACTGAAATTAATGTTACAAAATTGTTTTATGGTATCAATTGACATTAAAGACGCTTAATATGCAGTAGCAAAGAATGACAACGACCAAAACTATTTGCATTTTGTCTGGAAGGATCGTTTTCACCAGTTCACTTGTATACCAAATGGGTTAACAAACGGATTGGGATTTTTCGACAATAATAAAGCCTCCCCTAGCAACCTTACACAAGCAATATGTTTCATCGGGCCACTTAGATTATTTGTATCTACAGAGTCAAAGATACAATAAGTACGAGAAAAACTTAAAAACCATAACAGGGTTATTAACAGAGCTTGGATTCATTCACCCTAACAAGTCAGCATTTATCACTCAAACAGAAATAGTCAATTTAGGATTTGTGTTGAATTCAATAACAATGACTGTAAAACTAACTAAAGAGTAAATAGAAAGCGCTTACTATCATGACGCTTTGCTCTGAAGTGTTGCACATGATAATAGCTACTTTTCCCATCTGCTTGCAAAAATTAAAATAGTAGGTGAGCAACGTTACAACTTCATGCAACGTAATGTCTCACAAAGAGGTCACACTTTTCATTGTTACAGACGCATCAAACTAAGGCTGCGGGGGGCAATAATGATAAAAGCAACACGACGAGATGGTGGAATAGCTCAGAAGAAAAAAACAACCTAAACTATTTAGAAATCCATGCTGCTTTCTTAGGCCTAAAAACATTTAGCCAGAACAAGACGCATGTAACGTTATATGATCACATTCGATCAAGGGTGGACAATACGGTAGCAATGAGCATAATAAATAAAGTGGGCTCCAGAACCAGGAAAATTGTAATAGTTTTAGTTAAAGAAATGTGGGAATGGTGCATAGCCAGACACATATGGATAAGCACTTCTCATATTCCTGGCAGTAACAACTTTGTAACCAATGAGTTAAGCACAACTACACATCAAGTCAAACCAGATATTGACTTATTTGCGTCCCGTATCAATCACCAGTTTCCCACCTATGTTGCATATCCACCTTATCCTCGGGCAGTTGCAATAGATGCTTTCTCCATAACACGGAGTCATTTAGTTTTTATCTCTTTCCCCCGTTTAGTGTGATTGGAGTTGTTTTGAGCAAAATATCCAAAGAAAAAGCGACGGGGATTTGCGTTCTACCGGAGTGGCCGACATAACCTTGGAATACCAAATTCTTGCTGTTTTAACAAAATCCAATTTGTTCAAAACCAAGCAAAGATTTACTATGTCTTCGAAGGCACCCCTACACACACCACCATTCGCAAAGACACTGGGGCTAGATGGGGCTATTGACAAATTATTCACGAAGCACAGCGCCAGAGCAGCAGTAACTTTAGCATGCCACCCTAAAGGACTAAACCTTTCGCAGATTATGTAGTCTGCAGGATCGACAAACAGTGGCATCTTTCCAAGATTTTATTGCAAAATATAATAGACGAAAATTTCAGTGTGAAGGTGATAAAAAGTGATGACTAAGTTTACAATGTCTTTAAATTGTTATGTTCACTGAAAAAAGCGTTACTGAAGAAATATTTCAGGGGAAGATTTTATCACTTCGCAATCACAAGACTTTGAAGTCCTATGTGACTCCGTAATGACGTAGAGATTGCTGACGCAGTAAAATTCTAAATTAAACGAGACTTACCTTAAGTTGAAGTTTGATTTGAATTCTACTAGTCATCAGTCAGGAACGAAGAAGTCACATTCCTGGATTTAAGTCTATCTGCGTATATTTTGAAACTTTTCCCTCCGATGATTCTTCGCTCCTGATTCTTCTTGTGATCGCTCATATTGAAGGCTGACAAACTGTGCATGCCGAGGCTTCTGAAGTGACTCCTTCGTTCCTCACTGATGACAAGTAGAATCTAGTTACATCAAACTTCAACTTAAGACAAGTCTCGATTAATTTAGAATTATTTGATATGATCCGATGAAATCAGGTTGGCAAACTTTTGTTATTAGATACAATTACGTTCCATCATCTGGCGAGATTATGGTAATAATATGTAATAAAATAAATAATACGAAAAATCTTTGTGAATTGTGAGTAAGTTAAATAAGAAAAGGAGGTCCTACAGTCGTGTTGGCCTTCCTTCAGATGGCCATTTTACAATTTGTCCTTCTATGATTTCTATAGAGTTTTAACAGAACAATACTAGTATGCTATTGCAAATGCTTTAGTTTGATTGGCTACTCTACTCGCTATCCAATTTTCAATGGAGAGTGAGTAGTAAAAGTGGTAGCAAAGCAATAAATAGCAAATAGCGAAAAAACATGGCTGCAAACCCTGCCGTCGCGTGTTCTATCCAGGTTTCTTACGATAAACTCGATTTTTTACTTCAACAGGCAATTCTAGAGAAGGCTAAAGTTTCCAATAAAAACAACTTTAAAATAATAAAAGGTAGAACAACAAAAATCCAATTAATAACAAAGCATGCACTGAGAAAAACTCATTCGTTTTTTTAGTGCAAAATTCAGTAAAATTATTAATGTGCAATATCAAAACTAAATGTAGTGTCAACGAATTTAAGAAAACGATAGCAAGCCTTTTCCTTATGAAGACTAGTAGCTATGACTACACTAACACAGTTAGATTACTCGTTCTCGATTTCCATGATGGAATAGTAGATTCGTGCTTCGTCCTCATCGGAAAATTTGCGAAAAATGAAAAATTGCGTGGCGTGGCAAGCAGGAAGTGCGAGTGTTTTCAATTAATGTCGAGCTTCTCGCAAATTTTTACAAGTGCTTCTACAACTCTATAGGAAAGAGTAAAATGTTTTTTAATTACTTATCAAATACCCTTTTAAAAATAATAAGAGTTGAGACAACGGTTATTTTACTCAGGAGTGAAAGAGTGACGGCAAAATTTGACTGCGTTTTCGTTCGACAAGTTTGAAGAAAAAAGTAGTATCGCTGCAGCAAAAGCAAAGTTTTCAAACAAATTCGCTCCAGTGTTGCGTTAACACAAAACCGGTTCTGTTACTTTTACGCCGCATTTTTGCTTTAAAGACCATTTTATTCAAAATTTTTAGTCACTAGGTATTCACAAGAAATTTTTAGTCACTAGAGAGCCATTCGCCATACATTCTTAATCAACGTAAAATTGGGGTAGTTTTGCCAGAGACAAAACATTTTATTAGAACTTGGTTCAAAATACAATTTATTCTCTCAAATATAACCTGCTTTTGCCATTAGCTTGGGCCACTGGAATGAATGTTTTCTTAATGTTGAAAATACATTATTCAGTTTATCAAGTACCGTAGGCATAGTGTCGAGGTGCAAAGTAACATAGATAGATTTAGATTTGAGGAGGCGACGTCTAAGACGACGTGAGTTGACTTAGGCGATCTGGGTCGATGATGCCGTCGTCTTTCATAAGAAGAGTGATTTAGATTATATGAGAAGACGACAAGTTTTTACGAAAAACGAATTTCATCTTTTATGCGATTTTACTGAGTTATTTGGCATTTGTTTCTATAGTCGCTGATAATTCAAGAGATTATGGAGGAAAAAAACAACACTTTAGTTGAGAATAATAGTTGAGAAAAACTTATCTAAAACAAAATAAAAACGAAATTATTTATCTTGTTGATTGCTTATATGTGGAGGAGTCACCATTTTAATATGGTGATAGCCGGGAGAGCACATTGTATATACACTTTGTATATTTATATATATATATATGTCATAAGTTCTCAGTAGATTTATCAGAATATCATAATACCTTATAAGACACCCAGAATCAGTCCTACCAAAAAAACTCAAAAAAAATTACATACCTACTTATAATATATTTCCAGTCGACTTAAGTCGTAGGGGTAAGCTAACTTTTTCTAACTCCTTTTTAGACATTTTAACTAAGATTTACCCATCTATTCAAGAAAGACAGTTGCACCAAGCTGTTAACAAACAGTCAAAAACACAAGTAATGCGCATGGGATTATGCATTAAAGCTTAACGACACATTGACAGTGTAAAGAATGCCGTTTGATATTTATTTCTAATATAGCTAAAGCATTACTTGACAAAAAATACGTTATTTTACAGTAGATTTACCTCATTTAAATGTGTGTGTTTATTTCACAAAAACCTGAAGCATTATTTTCAATATTTTATGCTTACGGTATCGTGGTTGTTTTCGCAGGTTGTCATTAATATAAGCAGTAATAGAGTTTCGGGAGGGAGCGAATGTTAAACATTTTTCTCAAAGTGGACGTTTTGCAAACCAAAATCCGCCATTACCGCCATGTTTTTGACCACGGGGTGCAGGCCCCTTTCCCCCTCCAGGTCTTATAGAACTCAATGGCTTCTTATCAAGCAATGATTCACGGACTTATATAATTTGCTAAATAAGTATAAATGAAACACAGCATAATTTGCAAAATACAAATGGCTTAAACCATCTAAAATTACGATAAAAAGGAAAGCATTGTTCAACAATACGATTGTGATAGTATTCACTATAGTATTTACACATAATACATACGAAAAAGGAAAAAAATCACAGTCGGCCACTCTAGCTGAACATCCGGGAATCGATTTTGCCCACCGAAAACGCGTAACATATTTTGAACTATATTACAATGCCACCTCTAGTATTATTTATAATCTCTATGGTGAAAATAGCATGTTTCACGTCGTGAAAAACACTAAGACGACGTCGCAAAGGCAGCGGAAGTAAAGCAACTGGATGTTTACGACAGATAACGCTATACTCACGTCGTCTTAGACTTCGCGTCCTCAAATCTAAATCTGTTTAATATTTCGATCATAATTGCGGCGCTAAAACGAGCATTTATGGTACTGAAAGACAAGTTTCGACACAAAATATGCTAAAGCAGTTACCTCAACAATAATAAAAAAATCTTCTCCCTGCTCGCCTTGTACCACAACATATTCACCATCATCAAATGAGACTGGTTCCAAGGCATCTGCCACAGTTAATCTTTCCCACTTGTCCAAAGACTCAAGAATTGACACTTTCTCCAAGAAACTTTGGTACAGCTCTCGCTTTCTAATCTGGCTCAGCATAATAATACGACGATAGCTAACCCGATCTATGGCCCACAACTTGAGATCAGTTTTGGCCTAAAGACAAGGTGGGGCACAGTCAAAATCATACTCGACTGAACTAAAAGTTTAACTTAAAAGTTGCCATTGTCAAAAAACAGATACCACTCAAATTTTACTTTGCGATAGCTAAGTGTGTCTAATAAATTTTCCATTGGCTACAGTACATATCACATACTGTTTGCAAGAGGTGATCATGAAGACATTTCGGTTGGGGTAGTCACAAACAACAATATGAAAAAGTAAATGAAGTCATAAAAAGACTGAACAGTGTGTGCATTGCTTGATTTTTTGAAAAATCTGTTTAAAGTTGTAACAAAATTTAATCTGCACAATCCATAGACTGAAATTTAATTCACAAATGGTAAAGAATTTATAAACATTATATATCAAAGAACATTTTTAACATGATTTTGGCATTTGCTGTACAATTACGTATATCATTGTAGTACTTCAGTTAAGCATTGAAAAAGGATTACAAACCTTGATTGTTGCAGCTCTTGGAGTACCATAAATCAATGCAAGCTCACCAAATGCACCCCCTTCACCAATTACTGACACTAGCTGCTCATTAACATACACCTTAATATAAAAGTTATAAAACATAATAAACTAAGCATTTATTAAGCAACATCTTGTTACTTCAAATTGTGCAAAGTATCTTATCATACCTCAACTTCACCACTATCAATAATGTAGAAGTTATCACCCTCTTCACCTAAATGTGCCCACAAGATATAGGAAACAGAAAACTAATAAACACTGTGATGAAATCCTATTATAAAGGAAAAGATTACTTTGTGTAGAGAATAAGGACACCAATTAAAAACTTACATACCCTGCTGGATAACAATCTCACTAATGTTATGCTTAACTAAAAACATGGCATCAAAGATATCACTAGAATAAGAAAAACATTATTTGTAAACACTACTTTAAGTGGTTTGGAACTAAAATATCTTCAAATTGATTATCACACTTCAGAAAAAGTTGAAGGTGCATGAGGCAAATAATCACAAAACAACATTGTAAGAGAAATGTGTACACAATGATGAATAGAGTCACTAGTTACTACATCATCTTCTTAAAATTTCATAGCAGGACTAAAACTTGTGTGTTGGCAATGGGTCAGAGAATGGGTCTTTGACTTTACATAATGTACATAATCACTTGTACATACATCATGAGGTTTTGCACCTGACAAGGTCCAACATAAGCATTTGTAAATGAATTAGATCGCAAATAGGTAGCGCAGGAGCTTCGGCGAATATAGAAAATTTTCAAGTTTTATCTTTTAATTTGATCGAAGTTAACACTCGATAATAACCATTAGAGAACAATATTGTATAAGTGCAGCCATGTGATGAGTGATGAGTGATGGAATACAAAAGCAAGAGACAGAAACTTAACATTTGCACGAGAATGTCTTAGGAAATGTCAAATGATACTCTTGGGTTCGAACCATTTACTTTAATGTCAAATGAGTTCATAAAAAATGTTTAACCTACAACCGCTGGAGAACAATTCGTTCAAGCAAATTGCAGCAAGGAATGAACAACCTTAGAATTTCAGCTTAGAAATGAGCGCGCACGCGATTACCTTCTTTCAGTTTCATCTAAATGCGAAAAAAGGATGTTCTTTGCAATCGCGTTTGACAGGGCAGCCATGGTTTTATAGTCCTTCGGGACGACCTAAAAATTAAAATGATAAACTATGAAATATACATGTAACTACACACAGCGCAGACCGATGCAAAACTTTTGACATATTTAGTGAAGTAGTAGTTGAGGTGAACCATCTCATACATTTTGTAACCTACCTTTTTAACATAAGAAGTCGCTTCTGCTTCAGAAATAACGCTAGCACTAACACCGCCACGACGTCTCATGCGCAAAGGTTGCTTAGGACGAGTTTCTTCGTCGGGAAATCTACTCTCCGTCTCTTCAGCTTCTTCGCGAACCTCATCCTCGTTTTGACTGCTGTTCTTTTCCTAAATTTCATTTTGTAGGAAAAAAAATATCACACTTCGAGCGTTGACGAGAGATAGTGGCAGATAAACAATCTAGCCGCAAGAGTTAGACAATGTAAACAGCCGAACCTTCTCGAGTTTTTCAAAATATTCACGAAGGAATTTATAGGGATTAGACGGTTTTAACATACACAATTGAAAAATAGATTCTTTCAATATAGGTTGAATGTTGTGAGTTTCTATGTACTCCTCGCACTGTCGCACGGCTTCATTGTCTCTCTCATGATGATCAGCACTAGACGCCATCTTGTCAACAGATCAACAGGCTGAAAAATCGAAAAGCTTGTGATGATGCGCGGCTTGCGCGCGTGAGGACGAGCCACTCAGCCTCTATACATTGGTGGCTCAAGCCGCTAATATGAAGCTGGCTCTACTTGAATATGCAGCGGAGACTAATAGTTTCTAAACAAATTCATCTAGCCGCATAACCAGTGATGCAAAACTGTTGCTAGACACAATCTTCTCAAAATGAGCATAGTTTACATTTTTTGTCCGTAACAGTATGAAATTTCATGTTTGACAGAGGCAAAAAGGCTAACGCGGGCTGGATGATGACGAGCCACAGCCAGTCGGCTCAGTTGGCAGTTGGCGCTAAAGGTTGGTACTCCGAATTGGAGAATACGGAGCTGGCTTCACTTGTACTTTTGACTTGAAATCAATCACTTGAAATCGAGCTGAGACTCGAGTAGTTGCCCAACAAATTCATTTTTCCACCCTACCTGTTAAATGGATAATTTTTTTTTGATGTTAAACATGAACCAAGTGCACTGTCCACATAAGGTTTAGCTACATTTGGTACCGGTACATGAAGTTATGTTCAGCCAGTGAACTCCATATATAAATATATGTTATTTAAATATTGAGATCATTGTGTTCAGCAGTGCGTGCTCGCGTCTTTGCCTTTCATTATAATAAGTTTGAATGATCCAGTAAAGTTGGCTGAAATCAAATGCCCCTCCATTGAAAGATGGCTGTGTCCTTGATTTTAAATTGTCAATACTAATTGGACAGAAAAAATTGAGAACTTCTAACTTCTCTGTAATTGGGAAAAGGCAGAGGCTGCCAATGGGATCCAAATCATATTAATTAACGCAAAATTGCTCTACCTTTCTCAAGCTGTAGATTCGCTCAAAAAATTTGGGCCAGGATAATAAAGACCTACTTAAAATCCTTGGAAAACACTGTTTCAGATGATGTGAAACACAAGTAAATTGTAGCGTTTTACCGTATAAAAAGCGTACTATCTTAAATCCTGTGGTACCTTCACAGTCGATTTACATGGCGGTAGATTCGCTTCACAAATTTGGGCCACAAAAGTAAAGATATAATTGAAATCTTCAGAAAACGCACTTTTGGATGTAACTAAACACATTATTTTCCAGCGTGTTTACTACTTAACAAGTAGGCCTTTTTAGATGTCAACATTTATCCATTGTAAACATCGCGCATAATGATTAATGTAAAGAGACAAAAGCGGAAGTAGTCTTTAGAAGGCTGTAGATTTGCTCCAAGATTTTTGACCAAAATAAAAATAGTATAATCGTTGTTTCAACAACTTGGTCTTTACAGCGGCACTAAATACCTGTGTATTTTTTGTTGTTTTTTTGTAGCAAAAAATACGGTTTTTTTATTTTGGTTCTGAAACTGATGTTATTTAATACAGTAGTGTTTATTACCATTGCCATAGAGTTCTGATTGTTTGCCTTTGCGTGGGACGTATGGTTAGCAGTACAAATCTAACACAACATGTTTAGAATTCGATCATGCTTTGCAATTGCATGTTTATTTTACCAATTATCAGCCATGATAAGTTTGTTCAGAGTTCAAGACATCAGGATTTGTTGGATGTTTTTGACAATGAATCAAAATAATTTTTGTTTTTAAAAAACGAAGCATCGATTTTCAAAGGATGTTGAAGTGATCTTTGGGAAAAGTACACTCCCCTCAAAATCTGGTTCTGCTCAACATGTTGGTAAAATTGTTGCTGGAAAGTTAAAATCATTTTACTAATTGAATTTGTCTACATTTTTGTAGCCCATGTAATGCAATGTCCTCCATGGGCCACACCTGCCATGGTGAAGGCTGTTATGATATAGAAGTGTTAAAATAAGCAAATTGCTAATACAAGAGGACAGAAATGTGCTAAAAACTGAATTAACTGGACAGATAAATTGTGTATTTATTTATTTATTTGTTCATTATTATATTTAATTATTTATTTACTTTGTTAATGATTGGGTATTGATTTACCAGTTAATTTGTTCATTTGTTCATTTATTTGGTCATTTATTCATTTATCAAGTAAAGTTTTATGTACATGGAACTTTCTAAATATCATATCAATATATAATTTCATGGTTTGACTATTTTGAAATTTGTTGGTGAATAGTCAATGGTTTCTATTGTAAATCTTTATATGTGTTTACACAGAAAATATCAATTTGCTCCAGTGAGACATGAAATTTCACTTGCAGATTTGAAATATTTGAAGCTTAACACGATTGCCTATTAATTATTACACTTGTGAACATTAGCATGTTCCCAATTCAAATGTGGAATTCAAATAAATTTATATGTAGAGGTTCACATAAAACACATGGAATGTTTACATGAATTCTAATGTTAACTTAAACACATGTGATTTCATGTGGAATTTTTGTAAGTGCTAGGAGATTAAATTTGACATTGTAGCATAGTTAAATGTGCTATTACATCACATGAGAATGCAGGAAAAGTGACCTACTAGAAGAACTCAAGTTTAAAAAATTCTCGGGCACGTCCCTAAACCCCGACAAAAAGTTTGGACCATTGGAACAAAGGCACTAGCTCAAATCCTTGCAATTTTGCCCTTTAGCTTGGGTTAAAACAGGGCAATAAGCTCTCTAGAGATAGGTTTAAGGCAAATTATTTTCCTGATATTGTGGAGGGAGGGATTTAAAAGCTGTGATTTTATAATGATAAAGTAACAAATATAATGTGTAAGTTAAAATAAATTCTAGTAAATCCATTTTATAATGAATTTCCAAAATTTAACTAATCTGTGTTTTAGGTATTTTGGAATGAAAATACATCTACAAATACATTTGGAATGTAAGAATGAGCTTTTGTGATTGATTTTGACTTATGATTGACAAATCAAAACTTTATGGTTTTTTCAACTTCTTGCAAATCTTGATCAGCTGTGATTAAACTTTCATTAAACTCCTGCTTAAAGGACAATACATCATCCAAAAGTTCTTTGGCTATATATTTGGCAAAATGTTGATCTGTCACATAGAGAATTCTAAGCAAGTACGTATCATCTGTAAACTTGTAACCAATGTGATAAAGATAATAATATCTCCACTTTAGTCTTTCTAACGAGTATGTCAAAATAAGTGGTGACCTATGAAGAGACCTGTTCGTTAACCCCATTTCCTTTTTCATGAAATCACTTCGTTGCCTCATTCTTTCTACATTGGCAGTGAGTACAACGGGACTGTTTCTGAATACCCTGGTTATTTGTTCCCTTGAGAAACCGACTTCATCCATGAAGAATCTCACTCGTTTCTCAATAGCTTCCCAGCGAAATGTTATGGACCGTGGCTGTTTGGTAAAAAGTTTGTGAATTGTTAGATCAGAAAGGCCACTGTCTTTCAAGTACTTAACAAGATCATCAAATGTATGCTCTATGTTTGTCAGGACAGAAATAGGATTGTATCTGCAAAGAAAGGAAGTTTGCTTTACTTAGTAGTTTTACATAGTAATTGCGTTTCAGCAAGAGACTGATCTGTCATTTGCTTACATACCTCAAGACTTTCGCTATCTCCTCTTTCGTTAAATTCCATTTTTCCAGTAAACAAATTCGTTTCTCCATAGTATGAACAGGATACCAGAGCAGTTTCGGATATTGTGGTATCAGATGGGTTATTAATACACTTGGGTCTTTAAAATGTTTAGTGTATTCTGAGAGAAATTTAACTCTTTTATCCATTGCTTCTACTTTACAGGTCACAATTGATCTTGGGAATTTTTTAAACACCAAGCTGATACTATCTTCTGTTAGCCCTATCGTGTAAAAGTACTGTACACGTTCATCTATGTCTGACACTTTGCAAATTTTTGACAAAAGTCGAGCTGATTTCTTTGGCACTTGAAACCGATCACGAAGATAGCGTTCCGTTTCTTCGTTCCTTTGGCAGATTTTGCCCTTCTTTTGTGTACCACGTTTCATAAATATCGTTGGCCATAGCGTGGATTGCATGCCATGCGCGGAGCTTGTTCGAGAAGTAAATATTCTTCTAAAAAACAACATTTTTCATATCAAAATTTGTATCATCGAACGTCACCAGTGTACTCCACAACAACTGGAAGGCCAACTCATTATAAACAAACCTAGACTTGTTTGAAGCCACATAGAAGCTGTTTTGCCGCTTCGCGTGTATCTCGCGTGGACTGTTTTATTTGCGTGACGGATTGTTTTGCAAAAACTGCTAACTTGGAAATAGAATGCTAGCCTAAATGCTTTATTTTTTCAAAACCGTTAGCAAAATTTGGTTATTAATGTGTTAAGATGTATTATGGACGTTCCAAGACATGTTTTGTATACGTAACGCTGTATTATATAAAACATAAAAGGGAGAACTTGCTTCGAAATATGAATTTCTCATTTGTCGTCGAAAGACCAAAAATTTAAGATAAAACTGATAACAGGTAGTCTGTATCTTTGAATGCTGTGCAAAATACACACAATCCACTTAATATAACATGTTTCATAACAATTTTATTGCTTTCAAAGTTAGACTTGCTTTGTAAGAATTTCACATGCTCTTTTTGTAATGTGTGAAAGTGATGATTTGAAATTTTGGGCTGTGGGTGATTGTTGGTTTTTGTCATTTACTTCTCCCACTTGTTAAGAACTGGTGGAAGATTTTACATGCATCCATATTTGTGTATTGAGCATTTTATCAGCAAGTTCATGCTTATAAATAAATAGCCAAGTGTACAACATGATAAGTATTGCTAATATAACCTGCTCTACATAAATGCCAAAAAGCAACCCTCATCCTCAGTGGCGTGTACCAGGTTTTTAAAATGATTATAAAGCAAGCAAAGCTATATCATGTATCAAAATTTTATAGTATTTCATATTGATTGTAAAATTAGTTTTTTCTTATAATACAGATAATGATAAATGTATATGTAATATATTAAATTTTAGGATGTGTGTTTAAAATGTTTGGTCATATTTGTGAAAATGTATGATGATTCTATAATATTAGACTAATAATCTTTTTCATACTTGTATTACATTACAATTTTTACTTAAGTGTTTCAAAAGTTATGAATATGGAGTGTCAATTGTGTTTTTGTCTTTTTTTTTAAGTGGGTATTGCCCCTTTTGACTCCTTAATGGTGCAATAAATAATAACACAATAATATGGCATTACAGGTTTCTTTAAAACGAACTCAAAATATTTTTTTGCTAACTTTATGAAATATTTTGCAAAGTGTTTTTCTTTTTGTTTTCGCTCTTAACTTTCAAAAAGGACTGGGGCGAGCTAATTTTGCTCGGACACACAAAAATTACCAAAAACCAGGGGCGGATCTAGAGTATGTCAAATCCGTCGCGCGACTGATGTTTGAAATTCAAAAATTACCTATTCATATTAATTAAAAATTCATTAATTATTCTTATTTTCTTATCGCATTTACTTCGTGATAAAAATCCCGCATTATTTATTATTGAAAACTAATGACTAATCCAATGAATATCTCGTTGGTAACCAGATCAGTTGAATTTTAATTGACCTGGAATAACCGACTGATAAGCGGGGTGGCTTGACTGGTTCGACGGATAAAGGAGTCTATGAACGCCAAAACGCTATTTTATTGGTCAATAGCCAGATCAGTGGACAGTCTGGAATAATCTCGACTGATAATAGGGTGGCCGGACTATAAGGGAGTCCAATTGCTATCTTACAATTGGTTCATTTGAATTTTGTTTATTGTGATTGGTTTGACGGATTTCGACTGATAGCCAACTGAACTAACATAGTCAAGCTCACTGTCTGAATTGAATGTTTGATCGTTTTATAGTAATTTTTAAAGCATGATAGAAACTAAACTACAATCAGATGGAATTTATGGAAATCTTTACAAATTCATATATTGACATGAATGCTGCTTTCCAAACTGTGAATTTTTTCAAGAGGGTGAAAATTTATGGATAAATTGTAAATGCTTGGCAAAGACGATCTCGCGAGCGACATTTCAGTCATTGATGTTCAAAAGCAAGCCAACATTGTTTTGAGTTTTATCAGCAGAAATTTACATCCAAAATCGTAAGTAAAGGACAACTGAAGTGTATGCATGAATGTAATATATCAAAGTCAATTTATGCGAGTGTGTGATGCGATTTATGTTAATATGGCGTATGGTAAGCAGATTGATGCTTCTAAAATTGTTGTTGCCGAAGGACTTTTAGCTATGATTTCTTTAGTGCTTGGGAATCGTGGCCGTTATATGGCAGCGAAATCCTACATTCTGCAAATATATTTCAATGGACAAAAATCTGTAGCCATAAGGCGCCATACTATTATTTACTTTATCATAAACAAATGTTTGGGGCTTTTCAGTTTATGATCATTGATCATTCAATCATTGGACAGTTATACTACATATTGTTTAAGATTTGAGAAAACTAACATTGATTACATGAGAAGCTGTTTACTATAACCTGTGATTTTGAGTCTTCTGATCCATGAAGCTTTTATTTTGACAATTTGACTGGAATGGTATTAAACCTGAGTATTTCACATACATGAAATGTTGTCCCATGTCACATATTGTCCCTTTTCTAACTGAACACCTCATGTAGAGATGTAAAGGTGTGTTAATCTACGGCTCATACCAGATTGTTTGCCATAAATTCCAAAGGGCTATTGATGTATGAAAAGCATTTTCTATAAAGTAAAATGTCTTCTATGTATGCAGATAAACCTTGAAATTTGGCAAAACAGCAAAGTATTTTTCATGATCACTAGGTAATTTTTCTGATGATCATTATAATTTCTAAACTAAATTATTTCAGATTTACATTTAAACGAGCTTTGATCATATGAAAAGATATTTATCATAACCAGTAAGCATGACACATGAACCAATTTTAACATTCATGTAATTATATAATTAAAGACATGTTGGTTACATTCTGTTTGTATTTGATAATACAATGCTACTAGTGATTGCTATATAGCACACCTTGAAGAAGATAATAGTCTAGTGAAATGCCTAATAAACATTTATGGCATTAAGCTGTCCTTAACTGCAAATTTTCACTCTGATAATTTTGCTTAACCTTTGGCAGAAAAAATTTTGAGTTTTTCTCAAAAGGTGAATTTGCTGGCACTGATGTGGAGATGGGTAAAGGGTTACAATAAACTTGCATGGTTTGAAGTCTGAGCTTTTCTATATCTATGAACTGTCACTTGTAGTACCAAATTTCTAACTTAACCCATTACATAGATTTTTGAATGGGGGCCTCTAGGGGGTCTATGCCTGACAACTTGGTAGTTATTTTAAAGACTATATTTGTTTTTGAATAGCATTATTGTAAAATAAATTTTACGTTCCTAGACATGCTAATGAGCCATGTATTTGGCATGATAATGAGCCTAAATATTTGGCAAAACATTCAAGTATTGTTCACTTCATTTATTTATTTTTTTGAAAAAACGTAAGCAAAATGTGTTGTTTTTACGCAAAAACGATGCCCACAAATACATTTTGTATTGCTCTAAAACGCTGAAAATGGCATTTTCAAGGCTCTGAAATTCAAAATTTCTCAGGGGAGAATGCCTCAGACCCCCCCAGGTGCGGAGCGCCTTCGACGTTTTATGACTGATGTTTGAAAAATCCTAGATCCGCCCCTGCCAAAAACAGCTTTTTTTGCCCTGACAGCTTCATTTTCAAAGATTCAAACAATATTACAAGGATAGACAAGTATGTTTTACATCCTTTTAATGAAAAAAATCGAGGGGTGTCAGTTTTGTATTCAAGTTATAAGGCATGCTTTCACGTGCCAAAACAAAGTTCGCTTTTCATCCTTCTAAAAAGAAGCTTAAACATGTACAAATGTCGTTCAAACTTGTTTTATATTAAAGTCCAAATATTGTTTAAGATTTATAGACATTAAGCTGGCTTGAAGAACACTGTTTTTTGCAAAAAATCCGGCAACTTCGAAGTGATGTATTTCGCCTCCGTACCTTCAATGCATTGAGCTCCATAAGACCTGGAGGGGCAAAGGGGCCTGGACCCCGTGGTCAAAAACATGGCGGTAATGGCCATTGAGTTCTATAATAACTGGAGCGGCTATCTCAAGCGCGGCCTTAGATATCTGATGACGCCAAAAATGGCGGATTTCGTCCGTTGCCGCTGGTTTACAGAAATTGACCGCTTTTCCGAAAATTTCACAATTTCCACTCCCTCCTGAGGAAGAGTGAAGAAAATGTATGTGTTATTTGGGATTTGGCAAGCAATTTTTGATGAAATCACGATAAAACCTACATTCCTAACAGCAAAACCTAGCTTTCCAGTTATCGCTCCTACGAGGATGTATTTATAACTATCAACGAAAGAGCATATGTCGGCTACACATCTATGAATGCAGATATGCGTCGTTTTCTTACCAGCGTCAAATTGTTTGATCGATTGAACTCTTTAGTCTATACTGAAAAGTATATCATAGCTTATCTCACAGTGGTTCACGGGAGAATTTAGCTTATTTGTTATCATTGCTATTTTGCTTCTTTTATTGGAAGGCAATGGCTTTTTCGCCACAATTGTAGGATTTTTTGTTTTTAAAAAGTAAATATTAAATCTCTGGATATTTCTGCAGTTTTCTGTAATTGAACATAGAACAAAGAGACTCAAGTCTTATAGGTTTGTGAAATGAAAACAAACAATATTATATAGAAATTACTTTAAATAACCTTTTTGTGATGTTCTGAAATTTGCTGCATCAAATACTTGTTAAGTTGAAGAGCTTTATTTGATTTTGTTGTATTGATATATAAATTAGGAAAATGCAAATAATCATCAAAACACTTATGCTTCCAATGGTGTTTATAATTCATTTGCAGTTTAATACTTCTACCCTTCGTTTCACTTTGTTTTGTTTCCTATATTCGCAATAAGTGCACAATTTGAATGATTAACACAGTTTCACCTCAATAATAAATTTCATAAGCAGTTGGTAGTGCATTTTGTTCTCTGAGTATCCACATTTGGTGTTTTCTTCATACATGAATGATGAAATGCATGTATGGATATGTCATAGCAAGGCAATAAAACAAATGAATTAAATACCTATAGTGTACTTTTATGCTAGAAGCTTAAAAGCTTTCTAGAAATTAT